TGGATGGATGGATGGATGGATGGATGGATGGATGGATGGATGGATGGATGGATGGATGGATGGATGGATGGATGGTATTGTAGAAACTTTAAAACTTTAAACTGTGTCAATCAAAAATCCATCTGAGGGGCCTCCAGCTGTTTTGAACCTGAACCATTCTTGCTAAAGACAACAGCGCTAACTGTGCCACCATGAATGAAAATGATAGACCTCATTTTCATTTATCGGCTTTATCGTTTCTTCGCGTCTCTTTTTCTACTGAGGACACGGCTCAACTCCGGTGCTCTTCACAGACTCCTCCCTTTCTCATTTCTCTTTAAAATCCATTTTAACGATCCAAAATTGCATTTTTGGATCGTTAAAAGCAGCTAAGCTGAGAAGCTAAGCTACGAGCTATGCTAACAGGCCGACCTCGGGGGAAAAAAAAACCTTTGCTCGTTTGACAATAATTACTAATTATTGTCAAATTTTAAATATTATCGTTTATCACAACAACAATTTCTGAGACAATAAATCACCCAGCAAAATTAGTTATTGTGACAGGCGTAGTTGTGGCAGCAATGATAAGGGAGACGGTATGACCCAACATTGATTTTGGTATTGTAAAAGAACTGTCATGCAGACCATTTCAAGTAGAAAAACATGTCTGCCCTGAGACTGTAGGAGAACGCCTTTTGACAAAGCTTATCAGCAAAAGGGAACAAGGTCACGTCTCCGTCAGAGCTGAGCAGCTGTATCAGGAGGGCAGTACGACCTGGCATCAAAATGTGGACAAACACCACATGACAGTTCTGTTCCACTTCATGAGCACATCTTAAAATACTCAATCATTGCTTGTGTCTGTTTTATATATTCACTCTTAGTTTTCTGGGTTTTGTTACATTTTGTTAGGTCCTTTATAATTGTAATAGTATTCATGTTTGCTTGTCCTTATGGTTTTACTCTGTTTTGTCTGCCCCAGAGTATTTATGGTTATTGTCAGAGAACATTGTCCTTGTCTATCTGGCTTGGCTCAAGTTTTATGTTTTGGAACTAATCAAGGTTTTTGTGTAGCCTGTTGGGTTTTTGCAAGACGTTTTCTTTCAGTAAGCTGTTATAATTATTTGCGCCAACTACTGCCAGCCTCCTATGTCCCAAATTTGGGTCCATTGTCCAACCGCCATCCACCAACCTGTAACACAAGATTTAAGGGAGGCTTCTTATTGGCACATCAGTTATGAATTGGGATTGTGTGTCATTCATATTTTCAGTTTTTTGTTTGGTACATTAGTTACGTCAAAAGGGCTACATGTAATTTAAATTGAGATAAATGTATCTGAAGCTAAATATATCCACAAATAAAACCAAGTCGTGTGTTTTCACCCATATGTCTCAACTTGGATTACACTGACGTTCACAGAGGAGGGTTCAGTAAGGTGAGCAAACCTTTTTGATTTGGCTCTTTGCAGGAACAAAGTCAGCTTGAAGTTTTAGGCACCGGTGGAAGTGGATGAGAGCTTCTTTGTGCTGACCCATTTCCAGCAGCACCTTCCCTTTACGAAAGAAGCCCTGCACAAACACGACAATCAGCCATCAGCACACCACTGCCTGTGTGTGCAAAAGAATAACATCGTCTTCCTGTGTTACACAACTTCATCAAAGTTCAAACGAATCATGACGCTGTTTAACCCTTCTTCACCTTTTCAACTGGACATGGTCAGCTGAACAGTGGGGCTGTAAAATGGAATGTGACATAACGTATCTCTGGAAAAACTGATTCTATACAGTGTATTTTTCTCCACTAGCAATCCCACCCACAAAAATACAAATGGTCTAAATGGTTCTGCTTTAGTGCACCGGGACAGAATTTGGAGATAGAGAAACAACTTGTACTTCTCAGTAGTTACGTGTGTGCAATCACATTTGTGTTACAAGACCAGCCCGTGGGGGTTACTTCCAGGAAACATTTGCTCAGCGGAGAGCTGTGGTGTTACTGATGACCAGATACTGCAGACTGGTTCGTACTGAGCAGATAAAACGTATTTGATCCAGCTCTAGTTCTGTCCTCACAATCCAAAACTCTCCACGAGCTTGCTGTGGGCTTTTAGGGGAGTCCGACTGCTAAATATACATTTTGGCACATAGTTTGGATTTACTGGAATCCTAACCCCCATAAAGTTGCAGCTCAGAGTTTGCAAACTCAGTCAAAGGAGGATTTTTTTACTTCAGAACCTAAATAAGAATTAATCGTAGAATTGTTCACCCAAGGAGCTGGAAATACTCCACTTTTCTGTAACGTCATTATCATAGTACTGCAATTATTTCATCATCATCATCAGAGTGCTCTGCTTACTAGGACTACAGTAGTCACTCGTTACTTCGCGGCTCGACTTAGGTGGACTCGCTTTATCACGATTTGTGGACGTACAATCCATAATGTTGTAGAAAAAAATAAATAAATAAAAATAAAAATTCTACAGGAAACGATTGTTAACTTTAATATTACTCACGTGATTGGGACAGTACTGGACACAGTACTGTACAGTAAAAAGTTAAGGAAAAAAATAAAATACTTCGGACAGGCGCCAACATTTTGTAGTTTTCTCTCAGTTAGTCTCCACTGTATTCCCGCACATAACAACCACATTTCCCAGAAGGCAACAGGGCCCCGCCCAGAAGCCCCATTTCATCCAGCTGAAAAAAACAGAGGTAAAGTTTTGATCTGATCGATGCCCAGCGGATGCAAAGAAGCCGCACTGAACCCACCGAACTGGACCAGAACCAGACCTCCAGACCGTTCGGTGAATCTTAAGAGCTGGTACCCGGCCCACAAGAACTTCTAAGTGGGGACGTGCGGCGAAAGCTCTGGAGCTGTTTCCGTAGTCCATCTGGCCTTTTTTCATCCAGACTTGGACTCAAATCGACCACCTATGGTCCCACACCGGCCAAGTGAAGGTCTGCCCCTCCCCAAAAAATGTGCTTCGGTGCTCAATAGCTGTAATGTATTGGACCAGAACTGGCTCAGACTCAGCGGTGAACCAGAGAACTCCCAGCCGGCCCACAAGGACCTCTGAGCTGGGATGCCCTTGTAAGTAAAATGTATTCGCTACATATAAGTATGTTGTTAAATTTAGTAGATTTAGGAGTTTAGAACATTGATTGTGGGCTTTGTCGCTACAGGTTAGGTCTGCAGAAACAAACTGGGTCGGACCAGAACCGAGAGATTTTACTTATTAGCTCGTGTTGCTGTTCTGCTGAGCTAGTACCAGCAAGTAAAATTTAGTAGCTACATATACAGTACTCTACGTGTGAAGTTAAAGTGACGTAGGTTTAATAGTTTAGAACATTGCAAGAGTGTGAGAAGGGTTTCTAAAGCCTTAAAATATATAAATACTAAAATAAATATAACATTGTTATTTCGCGGAATTTCATTTTACTGCAGGCGGGTTCAGAACCGAACCTCCCCAATAAACGAGGGATTACTGTATGATGATATTTTACTAACAGACAAAAAGACAAACAAATACCTGATTGTCTGTGTTTTTAGGGTGGTGAGCAATCAAGTAAACTAAAGCGTGTTCTTTAATTTCCTCCACAGACTGTGGGAGCCATGTGGTTTAATCTACACATAAATGACAAGAACCCCCTCTCTGTGCAGAGGTGGGCTGAAACCACTGCATTCAAGCTGTTACGCAACAACTGTGGCCGACATCTTGAAGCTAAAACATGCTCGTTTCTCACCTCTGTCCAGGTGGGGTGAAGGCAGCAGAGGTAGTCGAGGTCCGCCAGAGCATCAGAGAAGCGCAGCAGGCCCAGGTTAGCCTCGGCTCTGCAACCCTTCAAACTGCGATCGTCTGGAACTGAGGACAAACAAAGAGACGAAAAATGAACTCAGTTCACAATAAGACAAGTTAAACACACACATTTGTCTTTGTGAACATATGCAGTAAATTCAATTCAATTCAATTCAAAAATACTTTATTAATCCCAAAGGGAAATTATTTGTTGTTGTAACTCGTTATCCTCATTTCATTAAGAGATGTTATAGATACTGATGGCTGTAGACAGGAAGGATCTCTTGTAAAGGTCCATCCCACAGTGGATTCTAAGAAACTGGCTGCAGATGCCGTCTGATCTGTCCACCCAGACTCGGCTGGCCTCTCTGTTCCCCCGGGCTGTAGGACCGCCTGAATGCCGGGCAGAACTCCTCCCAGAGCAATGGCCACTCCTCCCAGCAGCTGTGGACAGCCAACTGTAGGTGCTGAGGGACGATCCTGTCCTTCTGCTGTCATGAGCTGTGTTTCCTGCTAGTTCCAGGATCTCAGTGGTCAGGCACTCGAGCACAGCTGGCAGGTAGATGAGAATGCGTCCACTGAACGTCCTTTCAACTCATTTGAGATTTGGGGCTGTAGTTGAGATATTATTTGAGCTTTTGAGATGTTAATCAGCTTCTGTTGGTTGTAGAAAACTGCCTTGTTACCATGGTTACGCATCATAACAAATGTCCAAAACTAAAAAAAGTTTCAGTAAAAATCCTTCCAGCTGCACAGCATCTGATACCAGAGGAAACAATCATCCAAAAAATGTGATTTACATCCAGAAAAACAGGAATTAAAGTTTCCAAAAGCAAAATCTCAGAATGAAAGTAACAGAGCTGCTCCAACATGCAGCCACCTTGAGTGGCGCAATTCTAGAACAGAAATCTAGAAATGGCCTGGGTAACAATTTTTTGCAGAATCATAAAACTTGACTTAGAAACAGACATAATGTTTGCATACATATGCAGTCACTTTCACTACTAACGTATTTTCCGGCATATAAGTCGCAGTTTTTTTTGCATAGGTTGGTCAGTCCTGTGGCTTATACGCCGAAGCAACTTCTATATGTTTTTATTCCATATTGATTATGCATTTAACATATTGATTGATTGATTGATTGATTGATTGATTGATGAATTGATGAATTGATGGATGGATGGATGGATGGATGGATGGATGGATGGATGGATGGATGGATGGGTGGATGGATGGATGGATGGATGGATGGATGGATGGATGGATGGATGGATGGCACTGCCCAGGCTAAATGAAGCTGTTCTGACCATTAAATAAACTCATAATAAACTTGACTTAAACACCAAAGTGACTCTTATATGTTTTTCCCTCTTCGTGATGCTTTTTTTTTTAACTGATGTGACTTATACACCAGAAAATACGGTACTCACGGTCACATTATACCATCGGTTTACTCATTCACTCATATTTGATTTTTTTTTTTTTTTTTTTTTTTTTACACAACTTAAAAGGAAGTCCACTCCACTAGTCACATAAATGTTTCGGAGGCTGACAGTGTTACCTAAAGCTGTTACACAAGCCATGTTTATTCAGAACAGGCCTTCCAAAACGCTCCCTCGCCTCTGAAGTGGCCTGGTTGTAACAAACGGGGAAAGAAAATTACAGAAAATAACGAGCTCCAACCTGGAAGCCTTCAAATATCAAAAGCCTTTGTGTGTACGTGTGCAGGGGCTTAACGTGGCTGAAGAAGCTACAACGGTGCAGTAAAGAGCTGGACTGAAGAGAGTGAAGGTAATTTCATAATCACTGGAACACAAACACTCCTACGTTACAGCGAGAGCAGAGGCTGTCCCTTTTTATTTCTAACAGTAAGTTGCACGCGAGAAATTGGGTCAGTTGAAGTTTAAAAAAAGACAAATGTGGAGGATGAGCTACGGCACACACACACACACACACACAAATAGAAAATCTCCATACGAGTTGCAAGGTTTTTTTTCTAACTGCAGAATACAAAAAAAAAAAACCTGATTTGTCTCAGCTTGAGCCAAATACATGTTTTTTCCCCAAATCATCAGCTGTCAGTGCAATTTATTTATTTATTTTTACCATTTGTCAAACTGTGTGACTGACTGGGACAGATGGAGAAAACATTAAACCAGACTGCTGCATCAATCATCAGCGCCACAAAACCTGAATCGTGTGTTTCTTTTTTTATTTTAAAGATACTTGTACTAGGATCTGCAATCTGCACAACTTGCTTTCCTTGTGTTGATGGCTGTTGTGTCCGCACATCAAAAACCTGCGAGTAAATAGGGCATCAATGATACGTCTGTGGAAGAGCTCTTAGAGACAGAGAACTGGGACCATTTTGACGTACTGGTACGCGTTTGCACTCAGAGTTGTTAAAGTGTGCCGAGAAAAGTGTTTTGTTTACACCGAGTGCGTACCTGCATTTCAGAATGGCGCATAGCTAAAACCACTGGAGTAAACTCAAACTTCCCAGTTTGATATAGCTCAGGATTTCAGTGCTTGATTTCATAGTTTGCGGTGAAAGACCTGCACAAAAACAAGACTGAAAATCTAAATCTGTCACATCTGAGCTTGAGAGAACAAGTGCACCTTAGTGCGGCCCTCAAGGACCATGGTGCACGTGCAGAAGGTGAATGCACAGGTGTGTGCAGAGGCAGAGGCAGGTCTTACCCAGGTGCAGCCCCTCGTCCGCCATGCGTAGCGCTTCCAGGAACTCGTTGGCTTTGAGCTTCTCCTGGATGTGGCACCTGACGCTGCTTTCTTCGGGGTGACACTTCTCAGCGACGCTGATGAGCAGCACGTTGTTCTTCGTGGCCCTCACCTCCCTCTGTTTCAGCCTCTCCTTGCAGAGGGGGCATTTGGACGGGAGGTAGTCCTCCACGCACCTCCGGCAGAACGTGTGGCCGCAGGACACGCTCACCGGCTCGCACACCAGGAAGAGACAGAGCGGACACTCCAGGAGCTCCATCGTCAACTTAAAGGGACGCGTCGTCAGCACAGGAGCTTGCTTTGTTTCGACACAGCCGAGCAGAGACCACGACTACTGCACGGTCCTTTAAAAGAGCATACTGACTGCCTTCGAGCCGCCTTACTTGTTGAATTCACTTTTAAACCAGGAGCCATTCATCTAGTGAAGCTTCTGTCCGACAGCATCTTCCCTTTCCTCGGCAGGTTGGACGAACACAAACCCAGCACTTCCCTCGACACGACAAACATTAAAATAACTAAACGAATAAAAATGCAAAAAACAATGTATTTCTTTCTATTTTTGGTCGTTCTTGTCCGCTTTTACCCCCTGTAGCGACGTTTTTAAAGCCACGAAGCTAGGCGACTGTGTAACCCCCTTTGCGTTACATAAATAAACGTCACGTGACGCAGAAGCGTGCCTTCTGATTGGTCCAGCAGAGAGCGCTCAGCCCTGTTGTGAAACATAAGGATCCCGAGTTTCATAACTCCGTTCTTGGCGACTAAAGTCCTTTAATTTAAAATAAATGTGTTGTTAACACGCAGGGGTAAGAGCGTTATCTCACAGTCCTGTTCTATGGTGATTGTTTTAACCCCAGTTTGCAGAGTTTGTGAATTATCTTGGGACAAAGGTAGGGAATCCCACCTGAACATGCAGGGGGCGTGGTGTTGGGTAATGACATGACACCTAACCTAAAATATATCACTGGTTTTGAATTACAAAAAAAAAAAAAAAGCATTTGTTAAGCAATATGTACATCAACTACCCCATATGCAAACGTTCACACCAACTTCGGTTAGCTTTTTAATTTAAAAACAAAGTAATGTCCATCCCACACCTTCATGAAGCACCATGTTAAAACTAACTTCTGTTCTGTAACATGTGGTCAGTCACATTCATGCCCTGAGCTGGAAATGATCTCAAAATGTTTTTGTTTTTTTTAAATAAAACATGCATTTAAAGAGACTTGGTAAACTGTGTGCACTTCATTTCAATTCAGTTTATTTATGTAGTGCCTAGTCACAACAGAAGTCATCTTAGGGCACCGCACAGAAATATTCATATTCCTGTGTTTCTAGTAACTCTTTGAATACTCTGTCAAAAAAAACGTTTGAGGGGCAGAAGTAAAATACAGACGGTACGTCCCAGTTTACTGAATTATACAGTCAGGACAGCAACAAGCTCTGGAAGAAAGAATAATCAAGCGTTTACACAAACCCTTAGCAAAAAGTAGTTTAAGTGTACAAGTATACTTATTTTACACTAAAAATGAGGAAGTGTACTTGAAGTTTACTTTTTATAAACTTTATTTGATATACTTAAAAATAGTATTAAAATGCCCCAATTTAGTCCAAACAAGTATTAATTCAGTATACTTTCTAGTACACTACAAGTATGGTGTGTAGTATACTTCATCCATCCATCCATTATCTTTACCTCCTCCATTTTGGGTCACGGGGGTCGCCGGTGCCCATGTCCAGCAGTCACTGTGCGAGGGGCGGGGTACACCCGTCTCTCTCCAGTCCATCACAGGGACACATAGAGACAAACGACCATTCACTTTCTCACTCACACCTGGAGACAATTTAGAGTTACCAATCAGCCTAACATGTATGTTTTTGGTCTGTGGGAGGAAACTGAAGCACCTGGAGAAAACCCACGCATGCACGGAGAGAACATGCAAACTCCACCCAGAAAGGCCCCTGGACCGGGGTTTGAACCAAGGACCTGCTCGCTGAGAGGCAGCAGCTCTACCAGTTGCGCCACCGTGCTGCCTGTGTAGTATACTTGATATACTTAAAGTATACTTGCAAAAATGAACTTCAAATGTACTACTTTTTAAGGGAAGGTTTAGTAACACTACTGGACTCACAAAGCAGTAGGCAATTTTTTATTACTAGTGGGGGGGGGGGGGGGGGAACCGCCTAACATACAGAGTGACCGTCACAAAAAAATATACACTGATGAGTTTCAAGATTAAACAACTGAAAAGTTACATTAAAAAAAGTATTTCAAGACAGCTTAAGGATGTGAAGTCTGTATTATTTGTCATCCGACAGGTATGGGTTCACTTTTACTGGGTTAACTACAAAATAACATGCAATACTTTAGCTGATGCATCTGAAATGACAACAGAACTCTCAGAACTTGTTCCAATCCTTCACAATAACTCCCAAAACACAGTGTTCAAACTCTCTTTTATATCTTAAGTTTATGAAACTGGCTTATTCTTCTGTAAAAAAAGATTATATTGCAGCCCAAAGCAGCAAAGATTTCATAAGTAATTAAAAATCAACACTTGGACTATGTATTTGAGACTCTTCTTTTGTAGGATTAAAACATGTCCTGCGAGTTTTGCAGTGGTGAGAGTAATAAGCTGCACATCGGACTGGTTCAACTAAAATATTCCATTTTATTTTGTAGATAATCCTGTTAACATACATCAATAACCATCAGGTGCAACAATAACAGCCTCGTAAAGATAACGGTGTCGAGTTCAGAAAGTCCAGTGGGGTCCACATCTTCTGGGGTAGGGCTCGACTGTCAACTTGGTTCTCGACGTTGTGACATTTTTTCTGCCAATAAATTTTTATTAACATTTAAATTTAAATCTTGAAAAACTTAAAAACGTTCCCCCTCGTTTTTTTTCTCTCCCTTGAGTGGCCTTAATATGTCGTTGTAAATATGTCATTGTAAATATGTCATTGTAAATATGTCATTGTAAATATGTCATTGTAAATATGTCATTCTGATCCTTTGAAAGTTTGCGATTTCCACAAAAAAAAAAAAAAAAAAAGCTTTAACAGAAAACAACATACCATGAAAAAACATTTGGTATCAAGTGAGAAACAATAACAACAAAAAAGAAGAAACGATGCACAATGAAATCTAGGCTATCTCATCAATAATACTGCACATGGCAGCATCTTTGTCCCACATTTTGTCCCCCTTTGAACTTGGGACATTTTTGTCCTGGACGCTTGCTGCCATGCAGCTGGCACCAGTTTCCTCCACATCCATCGGTTCTGTTTTCAGGCTTAGGGCCTGTGCAGAGGAACAACTGAAACTAGCTCCTGCAGAAACGTTCTTTGCCCCGCTACAAACACCATCAGGAACTTCGGACTGGGGCAAGTCATCGGGTAGGGAGGCGAGACACTGCTGGATCATCTCCACCACCCTCTCCAGATGTTTCTGGAACCGTTCTGCTGTCTCCAGCCTCTGCCTCTTCTGCACCTCCATCATCACCCTCAGTGTCTCCCGGGCTTGGTGTGGTCTGTACTCATTGATGAGATGGTGCATATGAACAAACAAGAGTTTTATGTCCTCCAGCTTCTCTTCACGCCTTATACTGCCAGGACTCTTGATCAGAATGCCCAGAAGGTCCAGAAAGTTGACAAGAATGGACATGTTTAGCTTCTTTAGCTCTCGCTTGTGGTCAAATTGCATGGGGTGAAGTCTCTCGATGCCTTGGCTCTCCAGAGGTCGGATGATGAGATCATCACATTGGAACTGGTTGCCAAACATCATGTAGTTGTCTCTGATGGGTGGGGGCAGTTTAGGGGCCAGACCTTTGCGAATATTTTCATCTGTGTACTCTTTAATGTACTGCATAGGTGGGGGAGGCAGGGCACTGACCTGCTGTGGTTCACCCATGATGCAGACCTGAAACACACAAAAAATAATAATAATAATAAACAAGTCTTGAAAATATGAAGTTTAACTTTTTTACTGTAAACAAGACAGCAGCTTCAGCTTTTGTAACATCAGTGTACAAGTGCCATAACCATCACTGCACTCTGTACTCATTGTTCAGTTGATCAACATTATCTACACGTCACGTAAGCTCTCAAACTGGTACATCTTCATCAATAAAATCACTCTTGAGCTGCTGCCTTCTCCCACTTGTCACGTAGTCAGTGGTTACAACATGCGCTCTCAGGCCATCATTACGTACAGCTTTCCTTTAGTGTGACTGAACTCTGAAAAAAAAGGCCTTTCCCTACTCTGCTCCCATAACACCTTGCAACAGAAGCTGTCCACTTTGATTTCTTTAAGGGATTTTACACATTTAATTAGGTCATTTTTAAAAATCTAAGCAAGTATGTTCTTGTTTTTAGTATTTTACCTTGTTTTATATGGCACCTATATTTTATAGCTTTTATAACACTACTTTTTTTTATTTTAATTGCCTTTTATTGTTGTGTCTTGTTGTCTGTATTCAGTAAAGTTATCCGTCTAAAACAGGTCTCTCTTGAAAATAAGTCCTTGTGACTCAGACTACCTGTATAAATAAAGGTTAAACAAAAAAAAAACATGACTTTTTTTTACTGCTGTTTTAAAAGAAGCATGTTATAAGCTTATCCAATGTATTGGAAAAACATATTTAGCAAAACAGTTACTACAATTTATCTTTAAGGCTTAAATAAATATATTGAAATCTTGTTTAGTAATCCCAGTAACACGTCAAAGTATATACTGTACAGTGCATGTCACATATCGATACAAACATACAGTGTGTAAACACAATTGATCTCTACTCCTCAGGGATGTGTGTTGAGCACCCCTCCTGTTTACTCTGCTCACGTATGATTGTGCAGCTACCCATCCAGGCTGTCACATTGTAAAGTTTGCAGATGATACAGCGGTGGTGGGATGCATCACAAACAATGATGAGTCCAGCTACAGGCAAGAGGTGGAACACCTGGAGAGCTGGTGCAGAGAGAATAAACTTCACATCAATGTGAAGAAGACAAAGGATTGTAGACTTCAGAAGGAACAAAAACATCTACACCCCCCTGAACATAAGAGGATCTGTGGTGGAAGTGGTCTCCAGCTTCAAGTACTTGGGTGTACACATGAATGACAACCTCAGCTGGAGCAACACCACCAGCCTGATCAAGAAAGCTCATCAGAGACTCTACTTCCTCAGGCGGTTGAGACGAGCTGGTCTGGGAAGCTCAGTCCTCACCTCCTTCTACAGGTGTGCAGTGGAGAGCATCCTGTGCTCCAGCATCAACGTGTGGCATGGAGGCTGCACAGCTGCAGAAAGAAAAGCTTTGCAGAGAGTGGTGAAGGCTGCACAGAAGTTTGTTAGAGTCAGTCTCCCCACCATCACAGACATTTACACCTCTAGATGCAGGAAGAGAGCAACCTGCATCATGAAGGACCTCATTCATCCAGCACACACACTTTTTGCCCCACTCCCCTCAGGAAGGAGGTTGAGGAGCATTAAGTGTAGAACCACTAGACTGAGGAACAGCTTCTACCCTGAGGCTGTTAGACTCATGAATCTCTAACCAGAATAATCACTGTGAAAAACCACATCATGTTGCTGCTGATCTGTTTCAATGTTGCTGTGTTCATGCGTGCTCATCCGCTCACACAGACTCATGTTCATGCTGATGTTCAATGTTTTTATGTTATGAGTGCTTAGTGTATTTAGTTGATGTTTTTCTTAGTTCATATCTTAGATGTTATTACTGTTTTTCTTAGACATTTTATTGTTGGATGTAACTGGGACCCTATGTACATAATTTCGCTCCACCACATGTACCACATGAGGTGCGAATGACAATAAAGAATCTCTGACTCTCTGTGGGTCATGAACATTGCCTGTTTATCACCCCAGCTTCACAAGAGATGCAAAACGGGTTTTTGTGTGTGTGTCAGACAGACATCAAAATGTTTTTACTTTACCTCCTTTCGAAGTAAAGTTAGCGGTTTAGTAAAGTTTACTTAAAAATGTGTCGTCCATTTTTTTCTAAACGTTTCTGAATGTTGACCGGAAGTGGGTTATTAGCTTTGTTGCCAACCATACCGTAGTAAGCTATCAATTAACATTCCTAAGCCTATTTTTTAATCTTAGTAAAATCATATTTTGTTATAAAACGCAGTAGTATTCAAGTCTTCCAGCACAGCTAGATATCTGAGGTTCCGCCGATGCATTTTGAACAGAAAACTAGCTAACAATATTAGCCAGCTTCTGAATAGTTACATTCATTATAGCTAAAACATGCTAACTTCTTCTAGAGGTAAAATAACAGTCTTTAAATATGTTCCCACAAACCTTTTAAACGACTCTTCAGTTGCTGAATGGCACTTAGATGATAAATTCCACTGATATTAGCGGATAATTAGCTCATGGTTAGCTTAGCTTCCTCAACTCGTCGCGAGACGACGACGATTGTTTCTGTTATATTCTTATTGGCTGAAGTGTACACGTGACCGTTGTGACGCGCAGATTGGTCAGTGGCTGAAAAGAGCTGTACGTTGATTGGCTGCGCTGTTGGAGAAAAAAATCTATTTACTGCATATGTTATAACTGGGTGGTGTTGCCAGGTGTACGATAATTATCGACAGGTGGACGACAATTTTGCCCTCTGTACGATATACGATCAATAATCCCAAAAAATGCCAAATATACGATAATTTGACCATTCCGTGAAGGTGTGGTTGTAATCAGTTGTCATCAGCAACTGTCTGTCGGAGTTTTTTTGTGAACCCTGAAGGCATCTGTGTCCGCAAACAAATTTTTCTAAATGTTACCTAGAGTGATGTGTATGCGTTTGCCTCAGAATAACGGCCATGATTGGCTGGATAGTCCGCTGCGCCCGCCCCATGAGTGAGGAAAAGAAAAAAAAAAAAGAAAAGAAGAAGCAGAGCCGGTTTGAAAGTGGACCCATTATTACTATAGTGCATCAATAGATTTGTTATTTTGGTTATGACGGGTGTACGATAATTTTCCTCAAAATACGATAATTTAATGTCTCTAGTACGATAATCCTACATTTCTCACCTGGCAACACTGCAACTGGGTGTGCTTGAAGTATTTATACACAATGAAACGACTGAAAATTACATACACTTGAAGCCCTGATTTGATCTATATGCACTTATACTTATTTCGAACGAGTACAATTAAAAATGTCACAATGCATTAATTAATTATGTTATTGAAATTGTTTATACAATAAAAACAAGTCTATAGAAAAGATGGACTTTCAGTGCGATTCACTATAATCTAGATGCAAACATTTATGTATTATTATTAATTTATCAGATGGGCTTGCCCTTTCATGTTCTTTGAGATCTTGTTAGAATGTGAAATTTGTTTTAAAAGGTCAACTTTTTTTTTTTGCTTTAATATTTACAAAAATCTGTGTGTAAGTACTCTTGACAATCTACTGCATTTTTTTTTTAGGTGAATTTGTTTTCAATTTCCTCTTCCCTCCCCTTTCATTGCTCACATTTTACTAACACAACAGAAATATTTGTTCATAGAGAGCACGTTTTTTTTTACACACTGATGTTTTACTGTTAACCTTGTGCACCAAGAGCTCTTTTTCAGCTCACACCCACAAAATGGACTGTTGACTCTGTTGACCTCTGGCAGAAGTACTGCAGCCTGAGGACCAGAACCAGGTTCTGCAACAGTTTCATCCCACGAGTTATTAAACTGCTGAACTCGGGTCACTAATGAAGTGACCACAATACCAAACACACACACACAGACACACACAGCCATCGCTAAACACCAGTCTATAAAATTCATGTAAATGATGTACTCCTACACTGCTGTGGAGAAATGAAACAAATGTGTGTTCAGTGTTGCCTGGTGCACTGTACAATTTAGAATGACAACAAAGTTTATATTTATTTATTATTTATATTAATTTTGGTTATTTAAAAAAAAAAGACTAAATCTGTTTTCCTGTTGATGAAGCTGAATATAAACCTCTCATGTTTTGTAAGTGATTTGTGATATTTATGAATTTATTGGTCTAATGCAAAACTGTCAACAACTGATGGTCTTTAGGTCAAAAGTGGCCAATATGTGGGTACATTCCTGTCACGCTGGTAGAGGTTCACATTTGTCATTTTCTGGGTCAGCTTTGAGTTTGAGGATCTTGGAGTAAGACATATTTTCTTCCCTGATCATAAACAAAATGTTGATCATATTCTGTTATTCGTTCATCTGTTCCTGTCTACAGGGGTTGGCACAGCGAGCGAACTCACATAAAAGATTTGGCTATTTCTTCTTTTTCTTTTTTTTTTTTACTATGTCTCTAGAATGACAGATTGACATTGCTTACTGTCAAAAAGTTTGGAAAAAAATGTAACAAATGTAATTATTGAAATAAAAGTATATTCATCCATTCACTTTATTTACCCACACTTCTGTGCACGGAGATGATGTCAATATCAACAGATTGCAAGTTATGCAAAATACAAGTGGATTATATTGAATTTAAAATAAGCTGTTAACTTTTTTGGCTGACACTTACACCACCCTCAAAATTGTTCTAACTTTTTTAAAGATTAAGACTTTTCCAAAATCACTGGAACATTCTTGCCAGAGCATTGTTGGCAGAAACAGTGTTTATTATTCTAGTTTTGTAAGAAAAAGATAGACAGGAAAACGAAGAAGGCTGAAATAAAATCAGAGGTATAAGTATACATACACACACACACACACACGTGTATAAATATATATAGACATTTTTATAGAACACTGAGCTACCACAGCCCTCTGTATGGAGCCGAGAGCTGCCATCTAGGGCACCCTGGGGAGCAGATGTTGTGGGGAAAGGGCCTTGCTCAATGGCCCAGAGAGGGTCAAATGAGGGTGGAGGTAGGTGTGGGTGCTTCACCTAAACCACCCACATTTTTGTTGTTGTTGGTACCAGGAGTTAAACCAGCGATCGTCCGATCACAGGTTCACCTTCTCTAATCTCTGCGCCACTACTCCCCTTACACACACACACACACACACACACACACACACACACACAC